ATATATATATATATATATATATATATATACATAAATATATATATATATATATATATGTATATATATATGTATATATATATATATATATATATATATATATATATATATATATACATATATATATATATATACATATATATATATATATATACATACATATATATATATATATATATATATATATATATATATATATATATATATATATATATATATATATATATATATATATATATATATATATATAGTAAAAACTAGATTTCAAAATTCGATCTATTTAAAACAAATCTCAGAGTTTCATGCAACTTGCAATTATCAGATGTTACAAATCTTAAAAATATAATGGCAAAAAGTATACGAGATAATAGTTGTTGTATATATATTAGGGTGTCCCAAAAAAATATCATATGTTGAATATTGATGTGCGGAATACTTCATTTGGCATCATTTTGAACATGAAGATAAACAAAAAAGTCTCTAGCTTTAGCTGAAAGTTATTCAAGTCAATTTTCTTTTTTTTTTTTTAATTTATAAATTTTAAGATAAAATTGAATTTTATCTTAATATAAAAATAGCAACTTTTACTAAAAACGAAAAGAAATTGTTGGTGCGTGTCAAATAGGTGAATTTGCGTGCTATGAGATCTTTAATTTAATTGTAAAATAACTAATTAAGTTTAGAGATGAGTTCACTTTTAAATGGGATAAAATGATACATTTAGCATCATTTTTGCAAATTAAAGTAAAAAATGTTTTTTTTAACTAGATCTTGCAACTCCAGGACATCATAGGAAAGCAGCTTATTTAACATATTGTTCTTAACTTCAACATTCAGTTCCTTACCAGCAAGAGCAAAAACTTTTTGTTGTGGGGACAGGTACCAAGTGTGACGGCTGAGACTTTGGTAAAGAACCTTTCCAACAACTGCAAATTTTTAAACTCATTCATTGTTTGTAGCTGAAAAACAATATTGAATGCCATCAAATCATTCGATGATGCTTGAGAAGCCATTGCGCATTTCAGAAAGAAGAAACCGTGAAAAAATACAATTTAGTTGGTTGCAGCCTTCAGATTACTTAACGTGCTTATATTACCAGATTCGGAACTAACTGGGTAGTACATTTGAGTCATATGAATCACCAGCAAGTAGATACAGTATACCATAAATCTTGCTTCATGATGAGCTCCTGGTTGTTTGAATGAGAAGTTTGGTAACTCAGCTCCTAGAAAAAATGCTCTCATGAAGAGCTGTGGTACAGAAGTCTTTTGTAGGCAAGTTTGTACAACAAAGAGTCAGGTCTAGAAGCATCTTGAGTCCAGTCAAATTCCACAATTCTCTCTAGTTTATTTACATCTTTATAAATTTGTAGCCAAATTTTTTGTAGAGTAACATATAGATTCCTGCTAGGACTATTGGTTGGACCAAATATTTCCTTCATTACATGAGCTACATGCCTTTCATAGATGTGATATCTGCACATTAGCCAAAGAACGGGTCTACCTAGGGCATATGAAATATTAACGCCTATGGCACTTTTTTTCCTCCCAGTGTTACTGGATGTTGAGTCCAAACACAAACCAATATATAATAACCTGATCATCTCATAGTTTTCAAGCATAGCTTGATTGGCAGTAGTTTGATCACTTCCCTTAGAATTTTCAATTGCCCAGAAGGAAGTCTAGCGGACCAGATTTTGGTGAAAATGCGCTTATGGCAATTCTATCTTCATTTTTAGATACTCCTTTTTCGCAATTGTATCTTTTCAATATTTTTGTGTAAAAGTGTACAACAGTTTTTAAACCTCTTATTTTATCTAAATTTTCCACCCTGATCATCTGTGACTCAGACTCCACAATAGTATGGGTCTTCCTGTTTAGAGTTGATCTTGATATAGGGATATTATCAATGCCAACACCACCAGTTTTGTAAAGAGAATTCAAAAGACATATACCTGGTCTGACTCCAATTCTAAATCTGGTCATAATTGGGATCCAATTGTGAAGAATGTCTCCCAGACTTAATTGAAGGCAAACTGTGAAGTCGTTCTGAAACTCTTTTTTGTTTTTTCTGGACTTTAGCAGGAGGTAAATAAATTTCATTGCCTTCACTTTGATTGTCACTATCTGTGCTTAAAAAGTCTCCTTCCAAATAGTTACTTCCTTTTTTCTTATTTTTTTCACATGCCTTTGGATCTTCTCTGACATTGTTAAAAGTTAAATATTTAATCAACGTTGCCTAACTTAACCATATTCTCTCTCAGACAATGCCTCAAAAATTTCACTCTATGTCTTTACTCTTAGCTTCGTCATCCCTATTTTTCTCAATTTTAATTAAATCATATGTTTGATTTTTGAATAGAAAAAAGTGCACTACTCTCTTTCAAAAAGCTACCCACCTTCTTTTTATAGCTGCCCTTGGGCAAGTCTAGCGTTTTAAGCATTTTTAAAGTGTGATTTTCTTGGTAATTCAATTTTCTTGGTAATTCTGTTCTTTGTTTTGTTCTTTGTTTTGTTCGGTCACAGTAAAAGTATCGTTAAACCCAGCTTATTCCAAAAAATTGACATGCTCCTTCAGAATACAGATGTCTGTATTTAACTGCTTGTTGCTCTTTTGGCACACTTCGTCAGCAAATCTGGAGCATCTCAAATAAGTCTTACCAGAAGCAACTGAGCAGCCAATTTTGAAGTTGATCTGTGTGGTACTAAAACGTTTCAAAAATTAGTTAGTTACTAATTTACATTAATTATGTTAGTTAGTTTTTACCTTGTGTTTTTGTGGAGATTAAGCAAGTAATTAAGTAGTACCTTCTGAGCATTTCTCCAATTTGTGGGCAAATGAAGAAATGTCTATTGGGGGCAAACGTCTGCAAAGGAAACCCAAGCAAATAAAATTGCCTTTGCTTCTTTGTAATCTTGGACGCGTTAACACTATCTGATTTAAGTGAGTTAATTATCTGATTGTCGCGCTCTTTGTCTAGAGACATTTTCTAAAATCAACTATTTTTCATCTAAAATAAAATCAGAATAGTTGAATACACATTATATTGGACAATTTTTTATTTATAATTATTTTATTACCATCGTTTAATTTAAATATTTAATATAAATAAATTTAATACTTTGATAATATAATATTAAATTTATTTTAATTTAATATTAAATGATCCCACATTATTATTTAATAATGATTATTATCAATGAAAAACAATGACTAAATTTTAAAATCAAGTTTATACCTGAGTTTTAGTAAGCAAGGAGTTTTGGTAATTAAAGAGTTTAGTTTTTGTTAAAAATAACTTTTAAAAGTGATTTAATAATAAATTAGCTCGAGTTATTATACACGCATTATTAATTTCTATTGTTTGCCATGCTTTTGTCAAAATTATGTTTGAATTTAATTAATTTTAATTCAAAATATATATTTAAAAAAAGGATACTGACTTAAATAACCCTCCGCAAGAGCTTAAAATTATAAGGAAACTCATAAGCACATAAAGTATATAAATTGGACTTGTATTTTTCAAGATATAGCAAGAAATGTACCTCCAAGGGCCATTTCTTAGGCGATCAATTTTCCAGTACTAAATCTATTAAAGATAATTTTGGCACTTTGATTATTTTTTTTATTATTATTGTCAAAAAATCTTTAGATTTATTATGTCTACTCTTAAGAATACACATAATAAATAAATGAAAATTGCTAAAATTAAAATTTAAAAAAAAATAAAATTTAGCCTGTTTTTTGGGGACTACTATCTTAACGCCCTTATTAATAAATTTTAAAGCATGAATGATTTTTTAACATTTTTCTTTGAGAAAAAAAAAATTATTTCTTTCTTTATAATTAGAGACTTAATTTTTTTTGTTTGTCTTCATGGTTAAAATGATGCAGAATGCAGTATTCCGCACATCAAAATTCAATATATGATACTTTTTTAAGACACCTTAATACATATATATATATATATATATATATATATATATATATATATATATATATATATATATATATATATATATATATATATATATATATATATATATATATATATATATGTATATATATATATATATATATATATATATATATATATATATATATATATATATATATATATATATATATATATAAATATATATATATAAATATATATATATATATTTATATATATATATATATGTATATATATATATATATATATATATATATATATATATATATATATATACATATATATATATATATATATATATATATATATATATATATATATATATATATATATATATATATGTATATATATATATATATATATATATATATATATATATATATATATATATATATATATATATATATACATCTATATACATATATATATATATAAGTATATAGGTACTATATTTATTATATATATATAAATATATAGGTACTATATTTATTATATATATATAAATATAAATATATATATATATATATATATATATATATATTTTAGATACATAGACTATCTTATAGCCTGCTGCAGCATAGGAGTGACGCTACACTAACTGAGGGTTTGACATGGAGCAGCAATCATTTATTTCATTATTAAATGTTTTTTTCAACAACTATACTACTAGTTATAACAACCATTAAGGAAAAATGACATCATTTTTTTTTAAATCTGACATCATTTTTAGATCATTTTTTCTTAATTTTTGCTATTACTAATTTTATGATTTTCTTAAGTATCAAATATATTACATATGTTACGTACTTTCATTATAAATTTTATATGATTCTTCTATTTTTTTATTTATTCAAATGTGTTATTTATATCAACAGGTATGTGATGTATAATACCTTATTGAATAGCAATAATTATTTATTTGCATGTATATACCAATATGTGGTTAGAGCATAAACTAAGTAATTATTCATTTTAGAAATTAATATTATTAAATACAAAATACTGGCATAAATACAAACATCAAATTAAAAATAACAAAACAATTTACCTGATCATTGTTCTTTACAGCTTTTATTCCATTCACTCCAATATTACACTCATGGTAAACTGCGTATATAATCAAACCATCCATTGCACATAATAAAACAATGAATATAAGACCAGGTATATTCATTAGAAGTGCTCTTTTGCATTGTCAATGTAAATAAAAATATGCTTTTCATTGTGTGCAACATAAAAAAGTTTAGTTTAAAAACAAAAGAAAAAAACATTTTAACAAATGTCCCTATTCAAAACGAAAACAATAAAAGATAATAACAATAAAAAATAACTTTTCAAGATAATTAAGTTTTGAAAGTTTTGAAAATATATTGTTTTTGCTTTGTAAAAAAATTGTATTTTGTTCTTTGTAAGAACAAACACACACACATAATGGTATTTTGTTCTTTGTGAAAAAAAACATAATGGTGTTTTGTTTCTTGTGGGGAAAATGGTATTTTAAACATTAGCATATGGGTACTGCATCTCATTTGATTAAATTTTGTTTTATGTTAATAAAATCGAAAATTATTAACTGGTTATAAAATAGTTTTTTTTTTTTTACACATTACATGGATTAGATTTTTAATATAGGAAGTCACAAGTAGAATTATTTAGTTCCCACTTTTAAAACCCAGTTTCCTATTTACTTTACATTTTCTTTATAAAATATCAGTGTTTGCTACATTGCCTTACACTAAATATAAATAATTGGATATGAAGATTGATTCATAATAACTAATAAACAAATTATTAAAACATACTTTCTTGCTTCAGCAATACTTTTTGCAGCTTGAAACCGCTGAACAGCAGGTTGACAGACAGTCCATAAAGGCATTGCAGTAAAGGAACCACCAATAGTCAGAGTCCAGAATGTATTTCGAACAGTTGGATCTGGATTAAAGCTGTAAAATATTTCAAATAGTCAAATTTCCAAAAAATAAAATAAAAACATGATGTATTTAAACTTTAAAAACTAAAAACTATAAAAACTAAACTTAAATTTAAAATTACTAAATTAATTATCAAAGTAACTTTAAATCAGCTGAGAACCAAGATGTCGTCCACATTTTGTATTTTTTCTGTTTATTATTATTAAATACTCAACAACCAATGGAGTATGTATCCAATAAATCTTAATGATGCAACTTTTAAAAATATTCAAAAAATTAGTTAGAAAGTCTTTAAAAATTAAATTTTAAAACTAGATTTTCTCGGAAACAATGAACATAGCCTCTTGGAAACACAAAAAATAGACATAGCCTCTTGGTTCTTGCCTGACATTAATTAATATAATTAAAAAAACAATTAATATGTTAATTAACAAATAATATTATACTAGTATAATAAATGTAAAGCCACAACAATCACTGAGTCTCAACATAACCTGCCACTGGGCATAAGTATAGTCATAAGCATATATCAAGAAAATTTCTGAGGGATATCATATATATTGCTTAGGTGTGCCGACCATTTTGAAAATCACCTAATTTTTAAATTTAAAAAGACAAGTAATACAAAAAACTTTTAATTTTAAACTTACTCAAAGAGCTTGATTCTCTCCCCATTTGTAGCAATTCTAATTAAGTTGGAAAAGCCACCTATTTCTATAAGTCCGATAATCATTACTACAACAAGTCCAGCCACCATTATACCAGCTTGAAACACATCTGTCCATATTACTGCCTTCATTCCACCCAATGTTGTATAAAAAGTACAAACAACACCTGTGCTAATGATGGTTGCTGTAATCTGAATTCCTGCAACTATTAAAATTATTCAAATTTGTCAATTAGATTATTTAGCACTATAAATAAAACTGTTAATTTGTAAGAATACACTGGATATATATATATATATATATATATATATATATATATATATATATATATATATATATATATATATATATATATATAAATACATATATATATATATATATATATATATATATATATATATATATATATACATATATATATATATATATATATATATATATATATATATATATATATATATATATATATATATATATATATATATATATATATATATATATATATATATATATATATATATATATATATATATATATATATATATATATATATATATATATATATATATATATATATATATATATATATATATATATATATATATATATATATATATATATATATATATATATATATATATTAGGCTGATAAATTATTTAAATTTTTCAATTCTTTTTTAATGGTCTTAACATTAAGACCATTTTTTTTAATTTTACATTTATTTCAAATATTTTTTTTTAAATAGCTTGATGATTGGTTTTAAAAATTTCCCCTATAGACCAATTTTTTTTAAACTAGTTTACTTTTTATATCACTTAATTCAGTATTTTCAGTTTTTCCATCGTTATACAAAACCTTGCTAAAGATATTTTTAATGTGTAAGTACATTTTTTATAATGTAATGTTTAAAATTATAAAGAATATTTCATTATTTAAATCTTTTTAATTAGGGATGTATGAAATAAGCAGTGATATCATAAACAAAAACAAGAAAACTTGACAAAGCAATTTATTTCAATTTGATAAGATAAAGGCAAAAAAAAACAGAAATTAATAAAATTGAAGAACCACATGTTTTAGGGAGGTTCACTTACTTGGCCCCTTAGAGAAATCTGGTTTTGGAAATTGCAAAGTTATCGCCTGTTAATATAATATCAGGAAAATCAGTTTCAATAAGAGTTGAAAATTTGGTGAACAAATACAACGTAGATCAAAAAGACAATTAGTATCAGCTATAAAATATTATTTGATGTTATAAATAAAAAAGGTGTATGGCTGATTACTAAAGAAAAGCAGTTTTATAAAGTGCAAGTTAAAAGTAATGGAAATAAATGTTACTTCAAAAATTGTTCCAACTCATCAATCTAATTGAATCAAAAAAAAGTAACTGTTGTCAGCAAAAACATGCATTAAATTTAATTTACTGACTCTGACTCTAGTAACAGCAAAAGAGAGACTGACAATGATTTTGACCCATCTGCTAGCAATTTCAACCGCTTCAGCTGTCTATCTAGTTAAGAATGTTAAGTTAAGTACACACCAGAGCAAAAAAAACATCAATTGTCAGAAGAAGGTATTAATATTGCAACTCCAACACAGGCAGGTATTTATAAAGCAGTTATTAAAAAAAAATTAAAGAATGTTATAAAAAAAAATTTATCTACATTTTGATTGCAAGAAGATAAAACAGAAAGATATGCAAGTTGTAATTTTAAAAAACAATGATCAGAATACAAAGTTGGCAGCCATGCTTTTAGAGGATGGCAAAATCAGAACAATTGTATAAGCATTGATTAATTTGTTAAATGAGTTTGATATATGGAAAGTAATAAAAGTGATTATTTGTGACACAACAAACACAAATACTGGAGCAAAAGGTGGTGCTGTAGCATAGTTAAAAGAGAGTTTATAGCCAGGAATATGGAAGTTCCACTATATATTGGTTGTCAGCATTATGAATGAAATTTTAGAAGGCAAAACATTGTCACCAAATAAAACTTTTTTTTTTTTTGATGTACTTATACAAAACTATGACATCTTTGTTAAAAATTTCAAACAATCAATGCTAATCAACAATTTACAAGCAGTGGTATGGCTAGATGACATAAGGTTTTTGTGTGAGCTAAGGCATAATTACAGATATTATGTAGAAAAAAAAGATTTGCAAAAGATTGCAACCATTAGAGCTTAGTAACAAAAAGTTACAAAACAGCGGCCAAATTTTGTAAATATATTTATTTATATATATATATATATATATATATATATATATATATATATATATCTATATATATATATATATATATATATATATATGTATATATATATATATATATATATATATATATATATATATATATATATATATATATATATATATATATATATATATATATATATTATTGCTCACATCAAAGAAGGAACCAGAAGTAATAGAGAAATTGCAAGTTTAATTGGAGTTTCTGAGAAATGTGTTGGGGCAACAAAGCAAAACTTTCTTCACACTGGTGGTGCCAGCAAGAAAACATGGCCAGGTAGACCCTTGTCAACCACCAGAAAGGACGATAGTGTCTTTTTTAGAGCTGTCAGAGCTAATCCAAGAATTAGTTACATAAAATTGACCACAGAATTTAATACAATGCAAAATACATCTATTTTTCTCAAAGCACAGTCTGCTGAATACTTATCAAATACAAGATTGGAGTCTACTCTGCTTTGAAGAAACTGCTCCTGCATCCATATGATAAACAATTGAGACTAAAATGGTGTCATGAAAGAAGATATTGGACAATAGAACAATGGAAAAACATTATGTGGAGTGATGAGAATAACTTTGAGTTTATCAATCGCAAATCTAAAATAACAGTAAAAAAATGGCTCACCAAAAGTATTACGCCAGGTACAATAGACTGACTGTACAAAATAGAGAAGGCTCGATAGGAATCTGGTCATACTTCAATTACAAAGGTGTTGGTATGTGCCAAACATTCACCGGAAGAATCAACTCCAGAATATATGTGGAAGTACTGGAAAACAACCTAATTCCATTGACCTGCTTATGCTTAATGATAAACCATGGAAACTTCAACAAGATGGTGCTACTGCATGTACTGCATACTATAACAAAGGAGTGATTCAACAATAATAATATCAAGACAATACCGTGGCCTCCATAGTCACCTGATTTAAACCTGATTGAAAACATTTGGACTTGGAATGACCCTGAATTGGCAAAGGTTCAAATTTCCACACTTGGCCAGCTGAAGGACATCCTTAAGAAGATCTGGTATAGGGTCTAATAAGCAATGTGCGAGAGTTCTTAGTTGTATTAAAGCAAAAGACGGATACACAAAATATTGATTGGTTCACAAATTATGTCTCCTAATGTATCCTGCGTCTAAATTTATGAATAATTTTTTTGTCTTATTTTTTTAATACCATGTAGTTGTACCTAAATATTACTTTTTTTTTTAATTTTGTATTCTGTATGTATCTATCTAATAAATAGAAAAAAAGCTAAACCAAAATCTTTTTTTGTTATTGTTTTATCATTTAAATAATATATATTTACATATATATATATATATATATATATATATATATATATATATATATATATATATATATATATATATATATATATATATATATATATATATATACATATATATATATATATATATATATATATATATATATATATATATATATATATATATATATATATATATATATATATATATTATATATATATATATATACATATATACATATATATATATATACATATATATATATATATATATCATATATATATATATATATCATATATATATATATATATATATATATATATATATATATATATATATATATATATATATATATATATATATATATATATCATATATAAACATATATATGTATATATATAAATATATATATTTATGTATGTATATATATATATATATATATATATATATATATATATATATATATATATATATATATATATATATATATATATATATATATATATATATATACTTTATTGCAAGTTTCACATACAAAACATTTAATTTTAGAGCAACAACAAGCTTTAAAAATTAAAATAATTATTAACTTATTTGTCATACCTGATTCTAGTGCCAAACTTGGAGCATAAAAAACCACTGCGAGATAGAGGATCTAAAAAAAAAGGTGTTTGTCTATGAAAATTTTTTAAAAACAAAAAAAGAACATTTAAGATTAAAATCTTTTAATTGAACTCTAATTTTTTACAAATTCTTTAATATAAAATTTGGACTTCTTTTATATATATTGTGTTCACTTTCCCCATGAGTAAGAGGTTATTAATGTTGGGAAGATGTAGATTTTTAGAGAACAATTAGAGAAATCGGAGCTATTTCAAGAATTTTTTCAAATTAAAGCCATGGTATTTTCCAGCAGGCAGAAAAACAAGATTCAGTTTCACCACTTCACACTGCAAAATTATTCTGTTACTGCTACTTTTACTACAGCTAACTTTGTAAGTTTAGCCCTTTCTCAAAGTAATATCTCTGGATATTTAGGTTGTTAGGTGTAAATAAAAAACAACTATGAAGTTCAAACCCAACCTTTACCCTAGAAAAATAATGAAAACAATATCATTTTAAAATAACATTAACTTTAATTTAAAAAAAAATAACTCACATATTGAGTCAAAACAAGAACACATCCTAAGGATCTGACACTTGGTGTGAATCTTTTCTCTAAATACTAAATATACAAAATCATTTATTGGATTGCTTTTATTTTATTAAGAATATATATTAAAAGGATTTACAACATAAATTTTTCACATATTCTATTCCTCAATTCACAATCTTTGATTACTCGCTGTATTAACTTGTTTATATAATTGTTAACTCGTTTGTATAATTTTATTAACATTAATATAATTATTAACATTAACATAATTATTAACATTAACATTTTATAAACATTTTATTAACAAATTTATTAACATGTACATAAATCCAATTAATTGGACCCTCATGAAAAACTGATTGCTTTTTTTAATTTTAAATAATAAAAATTTTATTATTTAAAATTAAAAAAATTTTATTAAAATAGTTTTTATTTTACATCTATTTTTATAAATTACTTTTTCACAAACTAATACTAAACAAGCAATTAATTATATTTAAGATATGAATCAAAAGTCTGAAAAGTGGAAAGTATTACAATATTTGTGTTTAAATAAACAAATTTTTGTGATATTAGGTTGTTATATGTCATTAAAAATTATGTTGTTTACAAAGTTACGGATGTAATGTAAGCAAGATATGATTGTTTTTGTTTTTGAAGGGGAAAACCCAAAGCAACATTTTAAAAAATATATTACAGGTATACGTACCGCAAAAACAACCGTACTGCAAAAACCACAATGTTGGCTTAAGTGACTTAACATGTAAAAAAAAATTCAGGATTCAAAAAACTTGATATATTATGATAGCTAATATGTCAGCATATAAACTAAAGCAGTTTTAGTTAAGTTAATGGTAAAGCTTATGTGAAAAACCCTTTTTATTAATATGAACGATTATTATTAAAATATATATATATATATATATATACATAAAAACAGAAATATTTCTTTAATTGTAAAGAGGATATTTTTTTTATTTTACAGAAATAGTTTAGAAAAATTGTAAATATTTATTATTTTGAAATAAATTTTATATTAAAAAAAAAAAAAAATGTTTTAGTGGTTTTTTTATTTGTTAAATTGGTATCTGCACTAGAGTATCTGTTGGTATCTGCACTAGAGTAAAAATTTCAATTACAAAAACGTGTAGTTTTTTTTGTTTTGTGGAGCCTAGAAGCCGTATCAGAGAATAAGTTAGCAAAATATAGTTTTTCTATTACCTATGGATTATAACTAGATACTAAAAAAAGTCTTTTTTTCTCAAGTAGTTATAAATCTTTATAACACCCTCATAAAGAAAGTTTTGAAATAAAAAGCAACAACAATAAATTACCATTGTATTAGATTTTTTTAAAAGAAAATAATATACATTTATCTTAAAAACAATATTTGAACGCAGCAGTAATAACACATCTAAAATGGTTGCAAACTTTATAACATTATTATAACAATAGGTTACTGCAACAATGTTAAGATAACATAGATAAATAAAATGTTAAGATAACATAGATAAATAAAATACTTTAACTGATTACTTTAATTCAAAAAAAGATTATCGATTGTCGTTGCATTCGTTATAATGGTCGTATATCAGTCTTTTCCCAGCCGGCACAACTCAGAAAATAGTTACGCTTGGTTTCTGTTGCGTTTTTAAAACCTTCTAAAACAAAAAGAATAACACGTATCCTAAAAGGTTTTTATTCCGTGAAATTAACTATTACTATTTACCATAAATACCAGTTAAAGTATTAATGGTTTCACCGTTATGGAAACGTAGTATTCTATTTTAATAACTTTCCGTAAGGAATGTGAAACCACTGAAAAAAACATGCAACATTTAAATTTGACTTTAAAACCTCAAAAAACACGTGTTAAACTCTAGTAAAACTGCCCGTAATAAACACGTGCTTTTGGTTTACGCCTGGATCGTGAAAAACACGTGCCTATATAGGTTTTATTTCCGAAAAAGAAACTAGATGTGCCGATAGGGTTAGATGTGGAGAAGTGCTGGTTTGCTGGTAAAAGCATAACCGGTTAACACCATCAACTCTGCAACTCACTTTGCTGCAAATTGAACGGAGAACATCAAGACAATTAGAACATTGCTTTAGGCCAAAAGCTTGACATTTCCTTTGTTTGCAAAAACATTCAACTTTACATTTAATAAACTTTTCTTTAGCTTCTTCTTTCTATTTTTTGGTTTCCTCCTTTGCTGTTATCTTTTGTCGTTTCTCTTCTTTTATATCTTTCACTTTTGCTGCAACATCTTTTGCACGCATTGAACCATAGACCTGAGTAACACGAGTAGATATTTTTTCAAGGTTTAGTTTAATTTTCTTAATAGTTAGCAGATCAGAAATATTTTCTAATTGGAGGCTTTGCTCAGCCATTTCTCTAATCAAGATTTGAGACTGATCAAACTTATCTTTCCAGTAACTTGCCAAACCTTTCCTTTTAACTGGTGACGAAATGGTTGATTCAGGTTTTTTTAAAAGAAGTTGACGCTGGTTCTTCTTTATAAATGCATGCAGCAGCTCGCTCAAATTTATCTTGTTGCATAAAGTTAACATTTAATTCAAAAGGTGTTAATACAACTCTTTTTGCACTAAAAACAAGAACCGATTTCGGTGTCCATTTCTCCCATATATTGCCTAAGATGGTCATAAATCCCTCTGGATTAATTTATTGCATTGGGTTGAAAAGATAATTCTTGGCAATTCTGTACTCATGATGAAGATTTTGATTAATCTGGTCAAGCAAACTGAGTTACACCAGTAGTATCGGGAGGAGAAATAAATAATCAAATTTGTTTTGAAAGGAGGTATATTAAACCGTCATAACTGAATCGTGAACTATGTCCATCAGATAATAAAACAACAGGTCGTTCTATTGCCTTCTCAGTAAGGTAATCATCAAACTCTTGGCAAGCCGCCTTAAAAGCGTCATTATCTGAAATCCCATTTTCAGATGTTGTAACAAGGAGGTGACTGATTTTTTCAACAGCTACATGTGGTGTCATCTGGCTTGTTATTCCAACCGAGGAAAAAATGACTTTACATATACAAACATCTAGTGAGTAATTTTGATTATGTAAATTTCATTTTTTCTTTAGATCTAAAGAGCTTTGGTTTTTAGAAAAAACCAAAGCTCTTTAGATATCTAAATTAAATCATTATTTTGTAAAAAATTTATACTTACCATTTTTTATTATTCAGTCTAATCTTCTATTAATTGTTTCTCTATTTTTTACTAGTGGAAACAAACCAGTCTTCAAGGCCTTACAGCCTCGCACGCTGTGGTCGATACAAAATTGTACTGCCTTTTCTAATTGTAAATTCTTTGCATCTGTGAAGTTCCTCCCAATTGATGCCTCAGGCTTACTTTTTCCACGAATAGATTGTAATTTTTCCTGTCTGAGCTGAAATTTTCGCTTCATTTTCTATGTTAATTTTTTCTGACTCTATTAGATTAAAAAAATTATTGTTAAACATTTTAGAGTACATTAGTTGCTTACAGAACATATCTAAATACTAAAAAACAACTTTCAAGTAAAAATTTAGATTTTGCTCTAGGTTCAAACACAAAGTAAGTTTTAATAAATTCTTGCAACTATTATGTTCTAAAAATAATATTGATTTTTAATATGTAAAAAACACGATGCAAACTTTGTTTAAAACATTGCAATGACATTTTAGAATCAAGAGGTTACATAGAATCAATATAGTAAAAAGCGAGAACACATGTATAGCCTATAAAATGTTATTTTTAAAACATCAATGTTGTTTTTGGGGTACCTATCTTGTGGTTTTTTTGGTGTATCGGGTATTTTTTCCAAGATTAAGTTAGCAGTAACTGGTTTTATTTAAAGCAGATCAAATAAAATTAGGACACGCCAAATTTCAGCTTCATAGGTTCACTAGCTGCAGAGAAACAATCGATAAATTGAATGCAGTTTTTGGGGTACACATACAAAAAACCACAAAAGTTTAGTTAACATTAATAACAAAACTATTTTTTAAAAATTAATCAAACTAGCTGGGAAGAACAGATTTTAAGCAACTCTAAATACCATCAAAACAGTTTTTCTAAAAAGCAAATAATAAAAAAGTTATTGAGATGTGCTTTTTTTGGTGTTTTTGCGGTACTTATACCTGTATATTAAACTTATAAAATTAGTAAGAGAACCTAGCACGGTTGTTTTTTAAAACCAAATTTCTCAAATCTGGTTTGTTTTTTATCGTTTGGCTTGGAATTTTTGTTTTGGTTTATTTTAGAAAATCTGGTTTAAATCTGGTTTATTTTTAAAATCTTTGGTTTATTTTCTTTATTTTTTTTTTTTTTTTTTTTTGGTTTGTTTTTTAAAATTTGGTTTAATTTTGATTTATTTATTAATAAATTTATTTAATCAAGTTTTTATTTCATAAAAAAGTTAATTTGAGGGAAAGAAAGATTTCCATTTTTTCATTTTACAGAAGAACAATCAAGTTTAAAACAAATTAAAGAAATGCGTGTATTTAAATCTTAAAAACATTAAAAAATTTTAGTTGTTATGTCATTAAAATGTTGTTTTTATTCTTCTATTGTCAAAAAATTTGAAATTTCTTACATTAAAAATTACATTTTCTGAATGTTATTTCCCTAGTTAAAAAGGCCTTTACAAATCTACCGTTTCCTCCTAATAATGATATGAAAAAATAGGAAGAAATTGAAAATCGTTACAAAAATCGTCAGCTTCATTAAAAACTTATTTTTCTTAAAAATCTGATTACTTTTAAGCAAAATAAGTTTCTAAAAACACCGCTGAATTCTGAAACTGCTACGTGAGATAATTTAGAAGTTTCCGGAGACCTAAATCTCTGCAACATAGATGCCTATTGCCTTAGCTGTCCATGTGTTCCGTTTCTAATTATTTCAGTCTTTTCACAGGTTATCTGCATAAAAATCACACTAAAAAATTATTAAACCAGGTTTTGGATGTAGTCGTTTGGATCAAATCATATTTAATAGGGATAAATATTTTTTACCAGGATTTTAAAGTAATTGAGTCAACTATCGCATAGGTTGGACA